AAAGATCATGACTTGGATCAAGCACACCTTAGTCTTTAAACTGACATTGTTACTCTTTAGAACTTTGGAGAGATCCTTGACAGCAAATTTTCCCAATGCAATATGGGTGTTGATCGTGGGTGGATACAAGTAAAATGAAATTGTTGACAACTTCATTATTTTCTCTACTTATCATAGTGTTGACTATTGATCAATTTGTGAGGATCTTTGTTTCCTTGATGTTGAGATGTGACCTATATTAAAAAATTTACACTTTGATTTTCTGTAGCAAGTGCTTCCTGTCTTCTCTTTCTGCAAGCAAGGTTGTGTTATCTGTATAGCACAGGTTGTTGATAAGTCTTTCTCCTGTCATGATGCTACATTCCTCTTCATATAGTGCAGCTTTTTAAATGATTTGCTGAATATACAGATTGATTATGTATGGAGATAACCAGGACTCACACCTTTCCTGATTTTAGACCATGGAACTGCTTCATAGTCTATATACAGGTTTCACACAAGCACAAATAAAAGTGTTCTGGAATTCCCATTCCTCTCAACTTTAGATTTTGATCCACTCAGTCAAATGTCTTCTTGTAGTTAATAAAACACAAGTAAACTTCTTTCTAGTTATCTATGTTTTCAACCAATAGTACATCTGACATTAGTGATTATATCATTCATTACATGGCCTCTTATGAATCCAACTTAAATTTCTGGCCAACATATTCTTCCAGCTGTTTTTGAGTACTCTTCAGCAAGCTCTTACTTGTACGTCATATAAATGATGATTTTGTTGTTGTTGTTGTTGTTGTTAAGTGCCATTGAGTTGTAGGCAATTCATAGTGACTCTATGAACGAAAGTCCTGGACACCTGTATAATTTTCATCCTTTCTCCAGGTTCATAAGGTTTCCAGAGGCAAGCTATTTATAGAAGTGGATGCCACTCCTGCTTCCAAGCTTGTTTTAGTCAGGGAGCTCCACCAAACACTGTCCACTATGGGTGATCATTCTCACATTTAACTCATCTGTGTCACAGTGTTTGACTTTACAGTACCATGAGTTACCTCTGTACAGCAAGTGGACATACCAGAGTTACACGACCTAGAAGAATGTTTCACCAAAAACAATTAAAGGCAGACCTGACGGCTGCGGAATAGAGTCATCTACCTTTGGCATGGGAGCATGACTTTCTGTCTGCTTGGCCAACCGCTCTCTCTCTCTCTCTATGCTGTTGTTGTTGTTGCTAAGTGCCATTGAGTCATAGGCGACTCATAACGACCCTATGAATGAAAGTTCTGGACACCTGTATAATTTTCATCCTTTCTCCAGTTTCATAGGGTTTCCAGAGGCAAGCTATTTACAGAAGTGGATGCCACTCCTTCCAAGCTTGTTTTAATCGGGAGCTCCACCAAATACTGTCCACCATGGGTGACCATTCTCACATTTGACTCATCCATGTCACGGTGTTTGGGTTCACAGCAAACACAAGTTACCTCTGTACAGCAAGTGGACATACTAGGGTTACAAAACCTAGAAGAATGTTTCACCAAAAACAATTAAAGGCAGGCCTGAGGGCCGCAGAATAGAGTTACCCATCTTTGGCTTGGTAGCATGATATAAATGATAATGTTCCATAATGTCCACACCATTGGATCACGTTTTTTTGGAATAAGAACATAAATAGAGCTCTTCCAGTCAGTTGGCTGTCTTCCAAATACCTTGACACAGGATAATGAGCATATCCAGGACTGCTTCTTTATTTTTTGAGGCACCTCAGTTGGTACTCCATTAATTTCTAGGGGGATAATTTTTGCTGTTTCCTTCCATGCAACTTGAACTCCTTTCACTATCATCAGTTCTTGATCATGTGCTACTTTGAAATGATTCTGTATCAACCAATATTTTTTTATACAGGACTCTGTATTCTTTCCTTATTCTTTTGATGTTACCTGCATAATTCAATATTTTGACCTTAGAATCTTGCAATATTATAAATCAGGGGTTGAATATTTTCTTCACTTCTTTCAGCTTCAGAAATGATGACCACAGTTTTACCCTTTGGTTATCCAACCACAGGTCTCAGCACATAATTGTTGTTAGGTGCCATCGAATGAGTATGACTCATAGCAACCCTATGAATAGCAGACTTGAACGCTTCCCTATCTTATGCCATCCTTATCTCTGACACAGTAGAACCCATTGCTGAAGTCACTATATCAAGTCATCTCAATGGAGTCTTCCTCTCCTTCACTTCCTTTCTGTCTTTCCAAGAATGATGTCCTTTTCCAAGGAGTAGCCTTGTTTAGTTACCTGCCCAAAGTATGAGAGACAAGGTTTTGCCATCTTTGCATCGAAGGAATATCCAGGCTGCAGTTTCCCAGAGAGAGAGAGAGAGATACAAATATTTGTTCTTTTGAGAGGCCATGTGCAGCAATTATCCATTGGTCATCATCATCTTTATTCATTGTCCAATTCTCTGATGCATAGCAGGAAGTTTGAGAAGACCATGGTCTCAATTAGGTGCACTCTGCTCTTCAAATTGACACCATTGCTCTTCATCATTTTGGAGACATCCCTGACAGCAGACTTGCCCAATACAATACTACTCATTTCCTGACTGCTCCATCTCTTAGAGGAAAATTTTATGGCAGTGAATGCATGTATTAGAAAGAAAGAGTCTAAATCAATAATCTAAGTTTTCACTTTGAGAAAGAAGGGCAAAAATAAACAGAAAGCAAGACAAATAAGAACACCAATAAAAATTAATGCAGAAATTAATGAAATTTAAAAAGAAAGGGAAAAACCAACTAAACCAACTTAATAAATGTCTATTTTCTATTGATGATGTAGTCTGTATGAAGCTGTGCTGCTAACTCAAAGACTATGCCTCTATGGGAGTTCAAATCCACCAGCAACTTGGGAGAAAGATGGGCTGTCTCCTGCTGTGCAATTTATAGCTCCCAGAATCCCACTGGAGGGTCAGCTATGAATTGATTCCAACATGACGGCAATATGTTTGAGTTTTGGGTTATCTGTTTAATTCCTCCTCTCTCCCTTCCCATACCATCTAGTGATAAATTTTAAACCTAATAAGTCCATTTCATTTGTGTGTGTGTGTATAAAATAAAGTATGCCAGACGGAGTTACAGAATCTTTGCCTCCAAGGAGTAGCCTGCTTTCACCCTTTCCAGGTTGAACCTGTTTGTTCTCTTAGCAGTCCATGGTATATTCAATACTCTTTTCCAGCACCACAGCTCAAAGGCATTTATTCTCCTTCTATCATCCCTAGTCATTGTCTAGCTTGCTGATGCATAGCAAGTGGCTGCAAAGACCGTGGCCCATATCAAGTGCATGTTATCAAGTGCAGACTGACATAATTTTTTTTTCAGTAGTCTCGAGATGTTCCTTACAGCAAAATCTTTTGATTTCCTGGCTGCTGGTACCAAGAGTGTTGATTGTGGAGCTTAGCAAACTGAAGCTGTTAACAATCTCAATCTCTTCACCATCTATCATAACAACAACATTTCTATGTATCTATCTATATCTATTCCTTCTCTCTCTCTCTCTCTCTTTCTCTCTCTCTCATAGGCTCTTAGGGCAGAATTCTTTCTTGTTCAAAAGAAATGGTTCCGCCTCTTTCTTTTTCTTTATTTACAAGAGACTGTTTTGGCCAAATCATTCAAATAAAAAACTTCCAAGTTTCAGAGATACTTTTTAAAAGAAAAAAAGATCATGTAGATGTCAAGCCCTACTCATATCACTGCCCAGAGGGAACCATACTTAGGACCCTTGAGGGCCAGCCCAGGATCTTGCATGCACAGCAAGGTGCAACAGTGATTCTGAATGTTGTTGTTGTTATTGTTATGTGCCGTCGAGTCGCTTGCGACTCATAGCAACCCTATGTACAACAGCCCTAAACTCCACTCTGTCCTGTGCCAATCGCACTGTCTCTGACACTCCCATCCCA